TAACAATTTAAGATTGAGAGATTTGGGCTGATGAGGAGGGGAGGAGACTTGAATCATATTAAATGTGAATATTCTTGTGGGAAATGGTTTGCTTCAACAAGTTCGGTTGTCCTACCACTACCACCAATAGTTATCAATAAAGAGTAGTAGCAACCCTTATACATATAACCTAGGGAGAGGTCAAGCAAAAGTGGGTTATGTAAAAATCTGAATATTTGCAAGGTGTGGTTTAGAACTTGTAATGTGACTCAGAACTAGCAAACTCAAATATAATGTATAAGCAAACATTCTGTGTACTGTATGAAATAGTTGATGCAAAAGAAATGGTGTCCAGGAATGGGGCTAAAGGAAGATTTTGTGGAAGACAGATTGTCTAGCAATGTAGTCTTTTTCCAAGTATGTATCATGCTTAAATAGTGGGTCATAAAATTAATTTACTGAAACAAACTTTTTAGAAATAGTAATCAGTATTGAACTTAGAATAAGATAGGAGCTATCAGAGTACATCCTACTATGTAGTTAGGCTAAATATCTTGTATGAATTTTGTTTCAGTTATATACACACTTGAGTGTAAAGTGTTGAGTCCCAGTTGAAATGCTATGAAAGGCACCTGTCTGGAAGAAGTAAAAGAATGGAGTAGATACATAAATTCCACTGTTGGAAACAGAGTGATTATATAGCGTCTACTTATACATGGCTCAGTGCTAAGCAAAATCGGGACTAATAGAAGGCATGTAAATACATTTCTTACTTTTGGAGATAAGATTAGTGGGGCAAGTTTCTTTGTATAAGTTGCCTTAGTTCAAATAGCTATACTTCTATCCTGTTAGGTAAAAACTGTTTTTGTCTTCCGTCATTTACTTAGTCTGCTACCATTTTCTCTTTTGCCAGGAGATTGCATCAGCAATTTGAAAGTTATAAAGAACAAGTGAGAAAAATAGGGGAAGAAGCACGGCGTTACCAAGGCGAGCACAAAGACGATGCTCCGACTTGTGGAATCTGTCATAAAACCAAGTTTGCTGATGGATGTGGCCATCTCTGCTCCTACTGCCGCACCAAATTCTGCGCCCGGTGCGGTGGCCGCGTGTCTCTGCGATCGAACAACGTGAGTATTGCGTGAGCAAAATACGGGCGCAAACCCATACACTTCCCAAGCAGAAACAACACAGGGGTCTTAGAAGGCAGACGCAGGCATAGATGTACATGTTACCATGTTCCTCACCCGTTTTGTTCTTTTGTTTTTCATAAGGTTCATAGTAGTGAAGCACTGATGAAAATAATTCATAAAAACATACTTTGTGTATGTGTGTATCTTAATAAATGATTCCTATTCAAAACCAACAGAT